CCCCCCCCCCCCAGCCAGCACTTCAGCCTGGCTGGCTGGGCGTTGGGGATGGCCCGTCAGCACCTGGGTCACTCCTCTGTTTCACTCCATCCTGGCTTTCGAGTGAGAGGCGAAGGGGCCGTTTGCGTGTGCCTTGTGGGGAATGACAAGCCGTGGGGGAGCTGTGGTGTGTTTGCGGGGGGCATCCACTGCCAGCTTTTGTGGCCTGTCATCGTGAGCATGGAGCACGTGCTTTGCAGGCAAGGTGGGTAGAATAACTTGGTCTGCATAGAGTTCATAACTCTGTCCTTTTGGCTTCCGATTATTTGGAGAAGCCCAGTTCGGTTCTTGTCGGTTCGGCCTCGGCCCATGCATGGCCTCGGGATGCTTTTTGTGGAGAAAATCTGAGTCACCTGGTTTGTTTTCAAGAATTCATCCCCTTGGTGTGATTCTGAGCCCGTCTCCTCCTCCACCCTCACAAATGTGTGCGTCTCCCCCTCTCCCCGCAGCTGGTGAGGCACTGAGCCTCTCTCTCATAAGGAGCAAAGCCACAGGCTTCTTCCAGGCGTGGCTGCCGGTCTCTCTCCCACCTTCTTCTGGCTGTTCAGGGGAGGCTGGAGGGCTGGGCTCCCTCGGGTGGCTCCTCTGGAGGCGAAGCAAACCCATCATCCGTTGGTTCATTTGGGTCGGATCGGCTTTCCTGGGCAAGGCCCGCCGTGCTCTTCCCTGATGCTCCTTTGCCTTGGAGGAGAGGAGGAGAGGGCTGGCCGAGGGGTGGCGGCGATGGGGGATGGCAGTTTCTCTGGATGTAGACATTGGCATGGAGGAAAGCAGCCGGCCAGCCATGCTCGGCTGGATGCCCAGATGGGATGACTCGGGGGGGGGTGTCTTACAGCTGTGTCCAGTTTTCTGTATTTGGGAGCGGAGGCTGAACGGAGGCTCCTGGGCAGCCCTCCCCCTCCCCAGCTTGCCTTCATCAGCTGACCCCAAAGGCAGGATGACCAGTCCTGCCAGGGGCAGAGCGCTTCTCTTTTGTGAATTCGGAGAAATGGCTTTTCACGCTTTGTTTGCATCCTGTCGCTTGTAGTCCATGGCTTAAGGGTGGCTGAAGCTGTGACCTAAGCACATTGGGTGCCTCCTGAGCTTGGCGGGGGGTTGAAGGGGGCAGAGGGGAGGCGAGCCAAGGCCGGTTCTGCCAGGGCCTCTGAGACCAGGCTCCCTCGGCCCATGCATGGGCTCAGGACTCTGAGAGCTGCCTACGAGCCCCACGGCAAAAAAAAGTTTGGTCATGTTCCAGGGTTCTGAATTCAGGCCAGTACTTCTAAATCAGTTCATAAATAGTCTGCCATTAGAAATGAGCAAGAGGTGGCTTCAGTTTTTCTGCGCAGTAGAAATCCAGGCAACTTGAGGCGTACAGAGCAACCCTGCCAAGCTGGGCGAAGTGAGACTGAGCGGCTTGCAGGAAGTGTGAGGAGAGTCACCTTTCTTGCATGTGTTGATTGATCGGTTTGCTTTTTATCCCACGAGTCTCTCTTAGTGGGGACCCAAGAGGGTGTACGAAAACAGAAAGCCAGCAATTAGTTGAAACGAACTGATGAGGAGTTAGAACTATAATATGCAAATATTTAAGAGAATGTGATTTTAAAAGTTACATATTGGATTTTAAAAGGCCCCTCACTCCCTTCATTTACCAGCTGGCTCCCTAAAAGCCTCTCTAAAGAGGTAGGTCGGTTTTCAGCTGCCATGGCGTGAGGGCAGGCAGGCAGGCAGACAGGCAGGCAGGCAGGCAGGCAGGCAGGGGTGTGCCAGGCGCACCCCCTGAGCGAGAGGGAGTTCATCCTCTGGGCTGCAGTCCATTGTGAAGTGTGGGTTGTGTGGATTTCACACACACCCCTCGGTTTTCGAATAAAAGGGAAAGAGGCACTTTGGGGCAGTCGCTTCAATAGGTGGGGATCCCTTTGTGAATTTGTCTAGACTTTGGTCCTGGAAGGAAAGCTCGTTTGGGGGAACTATTGATTGACCGTCTTGGTGTGGAAAGAGGAAGAAGGACTTTTCAGCGCTAGCTTTGGAGATTCAGTCTGGGAGGGCCTGGACTTCTTTCTATCATTTGTGCCAGAACTGCACAAGTGGTCTTACTTAACCTCAAAAACATGAGTTGGGTTAGAGCCTGATTTTGGACATTTTTAAAAACTTTGTGCAAAAATTCAGGTCATTCTCAAACCATGCCTCTTTCTTTGTTGGCACTGCAAAGCCCCCCGAAATGCTCCTGCCCTTCAGCAGGACCAGGCGGATGTTTGGGGCCCCTCTGCACTTGTGGGATGGACCCAAAGACTTGGAATCAAAATGTAGCCGCCAGTGAGCTCACGGCCCTTCCCAAGCCTCCTCAATAGAGGCTCCTCGTCAACCAGGAGGGCTCCTTTTCTCCACCAAGAGAGGATTTGTCGTTTTCTTTTTTCCTGCTTGCGAATGTTGTTTTATGTTCCCTTTGGAGAAGCAGATGGGCACCAGTGGTCTGGGCTGCTCAGTGACACCTTCAGGAAGAGATGGGAGTGTTCTTGTGTGCAGAGGGAGGCCTTTAGGGGGAGGGGCTGTGCAAGGGTCGCCAGCGTTTAACGCGAACTCTCTAATTTCAACGGATCACCTCGGCTCTTTTGTTCGGGACCCAAGGGCTGCTCCGTGGTCCTGATGGAAGTGCATCTTTCCCAAACAGCTCGTTACGAGTCCTCTTTTTGCTGCAGGTGGGAGGGAGTTAAGAGGCTAGAGGCGGAGCCTGTAACTGGCTCCACCCATGAAGAGCCTAATCCCTCCCCTTTTCTCCATAAAGCTCCACCCCCTTGTCTGCCCAGTTCCACCCACGGCTCACCAAGCACTGTGCTGTGCGATCTAGATGAAGGGGGAAGGGGCGGACGGGGAGGAAACAATATTGAGAATGGACAGACAGAGGGATAGCCTGGATCTCTTGTGGACTCTGGCCGTCTGTAACTCTCTCTTTCTCTCCCTGTGTGTGTCTTCTGGTGAACTTGATGCTTCAGCCTTGCTTGGAGTCTTGATCTCCCGGCACGGGGCACCCTCTTTAGCTCTGGCCTTGCCACCTCCTGCTCTCTGGCACCAAACCCTTGCCCTTTCTGGCAGCCCTTGCCTGACGCTCCGTCACTATCTTTTTTTTTTTTTTTAATCTCTGCAGCCACTTCCAATGGGTCCCTGGATGGCTTGGAGAACAGAGAAGGCGGTGTCTGCCGGACACGCTCCATGAAGATCGTCATGAAAGTCGGCCAGGGTGAGTCAACCTGCAGAGAGCTTGGGATCTCCCCTGGGGGGGGCACGTGGTGGAGGCAGAGGAACCGGGAAGGCTGTTTGTAGACTGGAAGGGGTTGTTCCCTCCCCCTGCCCACCTGCAAACCCTGACAGGACATCTGGCCACTTCTTTTATTGTTGTTGTTGTTGTTCAAATAGTTGATTTGCCACTTTGGCTGGTTTCCATGCCTGATGCCAACTATGATGTGTGACCCCCCCCACAGGCACAATAAAGTCTCTCCCCCCCATCCCCTGGTCAACAAGGAAGCTATGTGAGATGTTGTGTGTTATGCGGTGAATGTGGTAGGCATGAAATCCCCCCTCCAAATAGTGGAGTGCTTAAAGCAATTAAAAATCAGGGTGCTTTTTAAATTAACTTTGTAAAAAGTTAAATTGGATTTCTTAATTTAACTGCAAATAGAAGTACCAAGCTTATTTATGGAGAATAACTAGGTTAATACATAACATAATCTGAATAACAGTTAATCTTGAAGCAGAATGGGTCCTGTTAAGCCAATTGAGACGGCTCTGCTCGTTTCTCCAGCAAGAGCGGTTGGCGTCCAAAGGGCCTGCCCGGGGGTGTGTGTGCGTCCGGTTGGCTTCAGCAGCCGCTGCCGCCACCACCAGAGCTGGTGGCCACCTCCGGAAGGGCGGCTTCTGCTGGTCTGTCCTTTTCTCTCCTGGGACCCATTTGAGACGTGGGAGGCTGCCTTTTTCTCTCGCCCCGAGACTTCCTGAATGAGGGTAACGGGTCCCCTTCTTCTCAACTAGGGAGCCCACAGGGGTCCTCTGAGGGCCATCCCACCTATCTCTCTCCCCCCCCCCGGTGTTGAGGTGCTGGAGGTTCTGCTGGGGGCCCTGAAGGTTGAGGGGAATCCACCGACCCTCACACAATGGAGGTTCTCCCAGACCTTCCTCCTTCAGGGAGCTTCCACTTGACGGAAGGGGCTGGACTCCCTCCAAGAGACCCCTTGCACTCACCCGGCAGCCGGGGGCAGCTCTGCATCTCTCTCTCTCTCCCCCCCCCTCCCCGGCCCCGACTAGGGATCAGGGCTTGATGGGGCACAGGAATCACTCGGTCCTCCCAGTTTTGCTGCTGAGCAAAAATCTGCCTGCCGGGACTGTTTCTTGGGCCCCCGTCCTGCCCATCTTTGCAAAGCTTTGGCGTTCTGCATCAATGGTGCACCACCCTTTCATGGGACTGCCGGGCTGTTGGAGCGTGTCCTCGTGGCCCGCATCAGGGGCAACCCGTTTGCTCCCAGTTGAGTTGGGAAATCTCTTCCATCATCCTCTGTAACTGAGCTGGCACCGCTCTCTCTCCAGCAGGCATGGGGCTGGCTGCATTTCTTTGGGGCAGCTGCGGGGTCACAGCCCCCAGAGCCCCCCTCCTCTGGCTAGGCGCTCTGTGGGTCACGGGGAGGCCAGGTGGCTTGCCTGGCCATGGGGAAGGCGGTTGCCCTGCCCCCCTGGACAGCCTTTGCGACGAGCATGAAAGGACTGGGGGCCCCTTGAGGCCTTTGCTGGGAGGGGCTGTCTCTCTTGCTGGGAATTGGGCCTCTCCTCGGCGCGGGGCCTGGGTGTCCAGACAGGAGGAGGAGCGCCTGCCTCGGCCCAGCAGGGGAAGCGCGGCTTCTCCTTTCCCTCCGGTCCGGTCCATCATCTGCCTTTGCTCAGGGTTTGCAGAGGGAGGAGGTGAGGGTCTGCTCTGGGGCTTGGCCTCCCCCTCCCCCGACTTCCTTTCCCTTCCCTTCTCCCAGCAGAAGAGTTGCTGGTAGTACCTCCACTCCCAGGTGCGCCAATGGCTTCTGTTCGGGGGCGGCAGCTTTTGTGCCCATGACCACTTTCTTGGTGATCTCCTTCAAGAACGGCTGCAAAACCGAACCCTGGAAGGAGGGGAAGGGGCCTTTCTGCCGGGAGGGGGGTTGGGTTGAGCAAAGGGGCCTGGAGCCAGGCCTGAACCATGAGGAGGGGCTGTGATCGCGCATCCAGCCAAAGAGGGGGAGGAAAATGAACAGGCCTTGCAGAAGGGTCTCTCTGCCTGCGCGCAAAACATTGCATTGGAGGGAAATAAAGAGCTGTTGCCTCTCCTGTTTTGCATTTCTCTCCCTCTTTCTCTCCCCCCCCTTTTTTCACCAGTACCACTTGTATTTGTGGTGCTGGTGGCTGCAGTGGCAAGACATCCCCTCAGCATCCCACGGGGTGGTGGTGGGGGTGGAATGATCTCTCTCTCCCCTCCCCACTCCCCATAGCAAATGCCTCCCACCGACAGACCCCCCCCCTCCCCACCTGGTCTCTCAACCCCATTCTTCTCTGTCTTTCTCCCTAGATCCCAATGCGGTGCTGCCCGAGCAACCGACCGCCGGCCGGCCCAGCAAGGAGTCAGACAACACCGGGAAAGCGGCCACTCAGAGCCCACGTAACAAGCTGCCCCCTTCGGTAGGGGAGGACCCCGCTCAACCAGGTAACTTTGGGCAAGGGGATGCCGGGGCCCCTGGAGGCCTTTGGCAAGCCTTCCTCTGCCTCTTCCGCAGCGTTAGAAGACCAGAGATGCTTTCTGCCCATTTAGCTCAGGAGGTGCCTCTGGAGGAAAGACAAGACTCCCCCCCCATCCTTGGGGTGGGGGCGAAACCCTCATTCCAGCCTCTCGGATCAAAGAGCTCCCCACCTCTGCCACCGCCAACCACCCCACCCCACCCCCGTGCTGCTCTGGGGCCCTTCCTTATTTTGGGAAGCCGGCGTCCCCCTCTTAAGGGAGAAAAGATGCTCCCCCAACTCAGAGCAACTTCTGGCCAAGGGAGGGCCAGGCCGCCTGTTTCAGGTGGGGGCTCTTCCGCTGCGGGGAGGGCAGAACAAGGCTCAGGGGGTGGGGTGGGGTGGGGTGTCCCTCTCCTGTCCGGTTTTACTGCTGCCAGGCCAGGTGGCCTCAGTGGCTCAAGGTACCTTTGCTAGCTTATGCCGGTGTGCTAGTCCTCGGTGCAGATAGCTTGACCCTGGTGTTCCCATGCTCTGGCCATCTCTTGGATAGGCTACTGTAACCTGTTATATATGGGGCTGCCCTTGAAGGCCATTGTGGAGCCTGAGCACAAGGCAAGGGATTTGGTTGCCCCCCCTGCTGCTACTGCCGTGGGGGCTCCAGTGGTCTCTTTGGCTCCAGGTCAGACCTGGACAGAGTTGTGTCATTGAGTAAGGCTCGCATGCCCACCCACCACTTCCTCTCTCTCTCTCTTGGTCCCCCCCCCGGTCCCCTCCCTCTGCTGTCCCAGATTCTGTCAACCAAGATGGCCAGGACTCCAACAGCCCCCAGGAGGGGTTCTTCAGCTCCAAGGTGGCGGTCTTTGCAGCGATCGGGGCCGGCTGTGTCATCTTCATCCTCATCATCATCTTCCTCGTCATCCTCCTGATCAAGATCCGCAAGCGGCACCGGAAGCACACGCAGCCGCGGGCGGCCGCCCTGTCGCTCAGCACCTTGGCCAGCCCCAAGGGGGGTGGCAACGCCGGCTCGGAGCCCAGCGACATCATCATCCCCTTGCGGACTACAGAGAACAACTACTGCCCGCACTACGAGAAAGTGAGCGGGGACTACGGGCACCCGGTCTACATCGTCCAGGAGATGCCCCCGCAGAGCCCGGCAAACATTTACTACAAGGTCT